CAGCGCCAACAGCAACAGCAGCAGCAGTCACAACAACAGCAACAGCAGCAACAGTCGCAGCAGAATCAGGCTATGCTCCAGCAGCAGCGTGCGCAACAGCGACCAGGCGGCAATGCTTCCCTGCCTGACGATCTCAATACTCTCTCGGCTCAAGAATATGAACATGTCTGTCGGATAGCCAATCAGATCCTCGCCAAAACGCCCCAGGAAGATATGGAGAAGATTCGCATGAACCTACAGAATATGACACCGGAACAAAGACAATACCTTACTCGAAAGAACATGGATCCAATCACGTACTTCTTCCGTTGCCAGGCTTTGAATCAACTCAGAAGGCATAAACGGAATCGCTTGGAAATGGCACGAGCGCAGAGCGCCGGTGTCGATCCCAATGGGGCCATGATGACAGATCCCATGATGAATCCGCAGCAGAGACAGATCTTTCAGAATATGATGACCTTTCAGCGCAATTCGGGATTTCCCATGGGCAACCAACAGAGCCTTGATCAGTCGTCGTTCATCGGCAACGTGGAAAATATCCAGGGCCAGCAAGCGGATGGGTTACGTTCCCAAGAAGCAGGTCAACTCGTGGTGCCTGCCAGTTCTTCCCAAATGAACCAACAGCCATACACTGCTCCTCAGAACATGTTCCAAGTGGGCCAGCAGATGGGTCAAGGGGGTCAGGCCAACCTCAATGGCGCGTCTATCAGCCCTCAGTTTCTCGCGGCACAGCACCTGCAGAACCCTCAGAACGCCCAGCAGGATCGAAACCAGCAGGCAGCACAGTTCCAGCCTCAGCCCCAAGCGCAAACCCAAGCGCAAGCACGAGCTCAAGCAGCCCAGAAAGCGCAAATGGCGATATCACAAGCAGGCCAGGCTAATCCACAGATGCAGCAACAACTATCTCAAAGTCCCGCTATGCCGATGTTGAACCGTCCCATGCCGCCTGGGCAGATGTCCCCAGGGCAAGTGGCTGCACAAGTCCGGCCGCCGTCCCGGGCTCCCGGGATGGGACAACAGCCCAATGGCGTGCAGGGTCTTGCTGGACAGCCCGGAATGCAAGGTCGACCCCAGATTCCTCCTGGTCTGCCACCCGCGGCGCACGAACAGCTGGCTCAAATGACTCCTGAACACCTTAATGCTTTTCTTTTAAATCAGCAGCGCCGTGCTCTCGCAAACAACCAAGCTCTCGCAAGAGCAAATGCTGGTCAGCAACCGTTGCCCATGCAGCAGAATTTGTCGCAACCCGGCCAGAATCAGCAGATGGTGAACAACCAGATGGGTAATAATCAGAACATGCGCGCGTCTCTCGGACTGCAACAGCAACTGGCCGGAATGAACGGTGGACAGATGCCCAATCAGATGCTTGCGGGACAGCAGATGTCGGCTCAGCAACGGCAACAGCAACAGAGGCAGCACGACTTGTACAAGCTGCAGCTTCTGCGGCAGCAGAGTGGGAGCATAGAGATGACGCCTGATCAGGTCAAGGAGATGGATCGCATTCAGTTCCCTCCTGCGATCCTCGCTAACAACCCGAATATGGTTTCCCCAGTCCCGAAGCATATCAAGACCTGGGGTCAGTTGAAACAATGGGTGGCTGCAAACCCGCAAGCTCTTGGGGGAGTTGATTTGCAGAAACTCATGACTTTGCAGAAGCTACATCTTGCCCAGATTGTAGCTCAAGGGAAAGAAGGAGCCGTCCGTAACATGGATCAGAATGGCCAGGGAAACTGGGGACAGATGATGTCTTTTCAGGGACAGCCCCAGCAATTTGTGAATCCACAAGCGTTTCAGGCGGGCCAGCAGCATGTACCAATGAACATACCGGCGTTGCGGCCGGTCACCGCCACTGAAATTCAAATGGCTCGCCAGCGCTTGGGTGCTCAAGTGGCCAACTACTCCGACGACCAGCTCCGCGAGATCATCCTTCGGAACAGGCAGAAACAACTGATGCAGATGGCCCAGAGCCGAGCAGCCCAGGCTTTAGCCGCGCAGAATATGAACCAAAACCAGCAGAACCAAACGGTGCAACAACCTCAGTTGACGGGGCCTCCTACCGCTTCTCAGGCCAAGCAGGGTCCTCAGCAGCCCACCCCACCTCAAAATCAACAAAACCAAACTGCCAAGGCTCAAAATACGGCGGCTGCGAAGGGCGCAAAGGGCTCGGCTCCCAAACAGGGCACCAAGCGCAAATCAGCCGCTGAAGAGCCTACAGAAGCCCAAGCGGCACCGGTTTCAAAGACAGCCCAGCCTACTACTACTACTCAAGGAGGAGTATCGGCGCCGCCTTCTAGACCTAATCTGGCTATCACGCCCGAGCAACTGGCTGCAATGACCCCTCACCAACGCATGCAGTTAGCGCAAATGCGCAGACAACAAGGTCAACAAGGTCAACAACGGGTTCCGATCAGTCGAGCAGCGGCGGAGGAAGCATGGAACAACCTACCCGAGAAGATTCGACAGCTCTACAACGATATCGCGAAGAATGCGCCTGCAGCGGAACCTGTTGCCCTTTCACCTGAGCAGAAAGCTGCCATGACCCAGCAACTTCGTGAATGCACCGACATGCTTGGTAGAATGGACACTCTTGCCCAATGGTTCTCAAAAATCCCCGGCCAGGAGAAGAACGTTCGCAGTTTGCTTGCAATGGTATGTCCGCAGTCGTCCCTGGACTCCGCTCCTCCCGGAAATTACATACTAACTCAATTTTGACGTAGCGTATACAATTAATGAGGCAATTTAAACCCGGCCCGGACTGGACGATCAGTGACCAGTTTACCATTGCTCCAGAGTATCTTAGCGGCACCATCAATTACATCAGGAAGCTGTTCCACGCTATGATCACTCGGGTGAACCAACAGCAAAACCAACCTTCTGGCCAGCGGCCGAGTAGCGTGCCACAAGGATCCTCTACCATGCCCCAGCCCAATCAAAACAATATGCCTGCTCTAAACGCAAGTAACTTGCAGCAGCTCCAACAACAGGAAGAGGCTCTCCAGCGAGCCCGAAGAGCCTCAAGCCAGGCTGCTTCTGCAACCTCTGCAGTGCCGCAGCCACCTTTTGGAGCGCCATCTCCCCAGGGGGTCCCGCACGCTTACGGCCCGGGAAGCATTCCGCCCGAGAAGTTGAAGATTCCTCCTTCGAAGAAGAGGAAGCAGTCTCATCCTGGCGGGACTCCAACCCAAGGTCAAGCTCCTGGCACGCCAGTCTCAAAGTTGCAGGCGGCTAAGCAGGCCGTGCCTGATGCTAAAACAGCTGCTCCAGTCCTGGGTGGCCCATTCAAATGCAGCGTCATTGAGTGTCAGCATCACCATCTTGGGTTTGCGACTCAGGATGCACTTGACAAACATGTCGAAGAAAGCCACAAGGTGGAGGAGCCGATCAACGACCCTCTCGAGTTCGCCATTGAAAGCTTCCACACTAGCCTTGTGAAGGACGAAGAAGGAGCACAACCTCAGGATCACACGAAGGACCGTCTTACCACCGGTATCGTTCCGTCTTCCGCAAAGCATGAAGTCAAAGGTGAAGCAGTCGCTCCTAGTACTACGGGTGTGGGTCGCGCGCCCGGATCCACCGGCATTAAGCCCGCTTCTCCTGGTTCGACTCAGCAGACTCCCCGTACAACTGCGGCCAAAGTTCCCACCTCGTCGGCGCTCAAGCCAAGCCCGAGCAAGGACGGCAAGATGGAGGCCGTAAAGCCGGTGGATCAGTCTGCGCCATCTGCTGCAGTTACCAAGGATCCTTGGGCAGATAGCACCATTTCTCTCGAGGCAATTCAAGATACGTTCATGGATTTCGGCGGCGATTCAGGCTTTGGCTTTGGATCCATGGATGAGTTTATCAACCCAGAAATGTTCGCCAATGCGCAGTCTGAGGATACTCCCGACTCTGTCGAAACTGGCGTTGCTACGCAGACGCCGAAGGATAGCGAGGTTCCAAAGATCCAAGATGCTAGCGGCAAGTTCGATGTCTCTGAAGATAGCTGGATCCCGATGGACTGGACCAATGTTCCTTCCCGTTTTGAAGACGCACTCGTGGTTAATGACTCCTGGGAGAATTTCGATTGGGATACAGTTGACCTGAACAACGGGGCCATGACTGTTGACGACAATGGCATTGCCATCTATGCCATGTAGGGAAAGATGGCACTTCGCAGCTGAATTGCGCGATATTCATTTATCTGGCGTAAATAGGAATGATTTATGTGTACATTAACGCACGGCCTGAGAACGGGAGGCTCCAGTTTGCTTTCCGCAGTCGGCATTATCGTTCTGGGTATTCCACATGGTCTTGTGGGATTGGTTTCTGTTTCCTTGTGCCATTTTGATCTTGTTGATCTGGTTATATTAGCCATGGCGTTATCTGGAGTGACAGAATATGGGAAAAGCGAGGGGACTTCTTGTCAGTTGCCTAGATAGGGGGAAGGCTCGAGAGCGTTCCTTGTGAGAAATATTGGGTACTTACAATAATCATCCTAATATTATGACTTATCCAATCTCAATCTGGTGTGGTATCCTAGATGCCTTGAAGATAGTACCTAGTATGCAATCATCACCTGATACAAATCATGTGCCTATGTGCATCTGTACCTGGAGACTGCCAAGCCAATTTAAGACTCCAGCTGATCAGCTGCTGATATAATCATGCTGATATGTGACTTATGTAGCCGATACGGAGCTGATAAGCCTCCCCCATCTCCACCATCTCCGTCACTCACGCACTCACTCGCCTCCGCCCTTTGTTCTCCATTGATCTCTCGTCTTTGGCCCAGAATGGTACTCAATAAGTGATTGTGATTACAATTATCCGTTGTTGATTTCTGGTCTCTGAATTTCGCTGGATCGATTATATCGGAGATCAAGCCTCGATTATCTTTCTTTCAGTCCATTGTCGTTATCGAACTACCTCAGCTATAACTAGCTATCATCTTCGAAAGCTTTGCATATTGTATACACAGTACATGCTTTCTTTTGATTTATACTAGCTCCTAACAGTGCAAGATGGCTACTCGGGCTGTGGTACCGTTTCTAGTTACGATGATGCTCGTGACCGGTGTCTGCAATACAATCCTCAATAAGTATCAGGTCTGATACCAGGAGTCTTTTTGCTCTTTCAATCTAGCTAATGCCATTTGAAAGGATATGCAATGTGTACGGAACTGCGACTCTCCAGACTCTAAATATCGGCAAACTTTCGAGCAGCCAGTCGTCCAGACGTGGGTTCCCCCCATCCTGTATCCACTATGTTACGCAATCGATGCTAAATTCAATCCCGTACCGATGATAGTGTTCAGATGTTTATTGGAGAAATGGGGTGTTGGCTCGTGATATTCGGCTCATATGTTTATCAATCGTTTATATATCCGCGTCTGTCTCCCAATTCTTCGCCTCTCCTTGCGGGCGGGTATAATCCCGTCCACCCTGATGACATAGGTGATGAGGAGGACCATACGATTGACGGTCCTGATGCATCTAACCGTACTCCCAAGCGCACCGATGCTGAAGGTCGGCCGTACCTCAGTGGACGTCGGATCCTCCTTCTCGCTGCGCCGGCATGCTGCGATATCGCGGGTACGACTCTGATGAACGTGGGTCTGCTCTTCGTTGCGGCCAGCATCTACCAAATGACGCGTGGAGCATTGGTCCTTTTTGTCGGGCTTTTCAGCGTTCTGTTTCTCCGACGGAAGTTGTTTCTATACCAGTGGATTGCACTGTTCGTGGTGGTTCTTGGTGTCGCCTTGGTAGGACTTGCCGGTGCACTCTTCGGCCAGGACCAAGGCCATGATATCTCCCGGGATGATACGCTTGCAATTGCCCCTCGGGCCGTGATGGAAGCTCGGGAGATGGTGAAGACTCCTGAAGCGCTCAAGGCTGTCATTGGTGTGCTCTTGATTGCAGCGGCACAGATCTTCACGGCCTCACAGTTCGTGCTGGAGGAGTGGATTCTCGAGAACTACGCCATGGATCCCCTTCAGGTCGTTGGATGGGAAGGCATATTCGGTTTCTCGGTTACTGCCATTGCTTCCATCATTTTGTACCTGACCGTAGGACGGACGGAAGCCGGTCGCTACGGCTATTTTGACGCCAAAGAAGGATGGCGTCAAGTCTTTTCTAACAAGTACATCGCCATGGCTAGCGTCCTGATTATGATTAGCATTGGGTTTGTGATTCCCAACGCCCCTTCTCTTTACATTATGCACATTGCCGAGGCCAAGAGGCTAATTTGTTGTCTCTCACAGAGGCTTCAACTTCTTCGGCCTTTCAGTCACCCGAACCGTATCTGCCACTTCCCGCAGTACGATCGACACCTGCCGGACACTCTTCATCTGGCTTGTTTCGCTCGCCCTCGGCTGGGAAACATTCAAGTGGCTGCAAGTCCTGGGCTTTGCGCTTCTCGTCTACGGAACCTTCTTGTTCAACGATATCATCCGTCCCCCTCTCAAAGCATGTCTTCCCCGTGACAGGCAGGAGAGGCAGATTCTGCTGCCCGAGGAACCCATTGAGCATATTTAGCTTAGGGATGGGCGAACGTCTTTGACTGCGTCACTATTTCTTGGTTTCTTCGTTAGGACAATTTGGCTCGGTCCGGGCGTTGAAGGTGGCGTTCAATTTTTGGTTACTTCTGTTCTTGGGCTTAAGTGTGCCGCGCATTCGGTTTGGTTAATAGAGGCAGTCGTCGACATCGACACTTTCAAGGTTGTCATACGAAACCGGTTATTTTCATGTTACAGCATGAGTTTTGGAAACCATATCACGCCCCTTCTGTCCAGTTAGGCTTTTGGTTACAACCAGAATAAGAGACGGGTATGATTTCCATTGTCAATTGCGAAGTCTGGACTACGAAATATAATCTATCAAATGGATACACATAACACTTTCGACACGAGGGTATATAACCAAATCTACTACACTATAGTACAAGTATAACCAAAACGCGCTATTCTACCGACCGCAGTGTACATTGTTCAGATCAAACCAAGACATACAGAGCACACATCTAGACAACGTCAGCTATGCATCAACCGGCAGGAAATGTGTAAAACTCACCATAGACAGCCCCGTTATCATCGATAGCCAGAAGAAGACGTTCTGCACATGTAAAAAACGCAGTTAGCAAGCCAATCAGGATTCCATGATTTAGGGAGGACAGGAGACGCACATTGAGAGTCCTCTTCCCGCGGAAGAATCGCGACCGTTGGACGGCGACGATGGGCATCTGGAGCATCATGGCTAGGAAGCCGTAGCCGCGCAGCTTCTTGGTGATGCAGCTCATGACGAGCTCGTGGAAGACGGAGCTCACGAGGAAGGTGATGAACATGGCTACGGGCTGGGAGAAGTACGATAGCGAAGGGAAGTAGACGTGTCGGCGTAGGAAGTGGTGCACGGGGATGTTCCATTCGCGGGAGAATTCGAGCCTGTACGACTCATTGGTTAGATTGCGTTACTGTAGCCTGGGGGCGGTGGATACGTACCAGTCAGAGGAGTTCCACCAGTCCGAGTAGAATTGGCGGTCGGCGAAGCGGGTGATCTCGGCGAATGCGCCGAGCACGTACTCGAAGATGACCAGAAAGACTAGCAGGAATGTTATCATGAATGGGAACAGGAGCATGCTGATTGTCTCGGCCAGGATCAGTGCCTTTTCGGAGGCGCCGTGGACCAGGTGTAGTTGGGCACTGGCCTCGCTCAGGACAGGCACGATGAATTCCTCGCTCGTCACCGTTAGGAGGAAGATGCAGCCGAAGACGGCCAGAGCTTTGGCGGCCAACTCGGTCCATTGTCTGCTCTTGTTCCGGGGGTACTCCAGCTCATAGCAAAGCGTCGGGCAGAAAATGTAGTCGACATAGTTGGCGAGAGAGAGGTTCTGTGGGTAGGTCACACGTCCCAGGGGTGAAGTCAGTTCAGAAGCCAGGTCCTCGCGCACTTCCTCGACCGATTTAGATCGTGTATGTTTGCTGTGCGGGTGTGTCGGGTGTCCGCTAGGTTCCGGGTCTGGGTATCGGACCGCTGCATCGAGTGAGACCGAGTCAGGTTTGTCTAGTGAAGCCAGTCGACGCTGCGTTTCGCTCAGATGCCCATTGTAGAACGCGTATGAATGCATCTTCATCAGGAAGACAAGCGTATGCAAAGTCAGGAAAACCTGGGCTGTCCAGGTCCAGCGCATCATGAATGGCCAGCTAGAGACTTTGTTAGACCCCAGGTGGTTGGCTTGAACATAGCGCACTCACTTGATCCACAGCACAAGCCATATTGCTTCGAAAAGACTCTGTACAATCATACCAGCTCGCCCCCACCGCAGCAAACCATTGCTCCTAAAGAGATGATGCAGCGGCACGACAAGCCCACTGCTGACGACCATCGCAAGGTCGCTGAGGCCTAATTCCCAAACGTTCGCCGACAACAGGCCCCACACTCTCACTCTCAACGGGTAACCAGTATCCTTGATATTCCGCAGCACAGTCGTAACCACCATGATAAACAGCGCAATCCAAAACAGAGTGAAGAAGCCGCGAAAATTGTGATGGTCGCTTCTGGGGTCAAAATGTGACACGCGAGGGGTATAATTGATGGTATAGAACAGGCGAGTCCGAGCTCGCGCTTGTTTCCTGGCGCTGGATATCGAATGCGCCGAGGGGGGCGCATCATCGGCGACGGGGGTTGAGCGACCACTTGACGAAGAAATTAGCACATGTTTAGTTCAGATTCTCTTTGATGTCAGTCCCGCCAACCTTGAATCAACAGATGTTATTCTATCTAAAGCGGGTGTCGTAACACCATCCTCGGCCTTTTTCAGACCGCGCGCTCGTGGCAACCCATTGCCATTGCGCTGTAAGACGGCAGTGGACATGCTGATGACGAGGGCCAAGAGTAGCAAAGTTCACATCGATATCGTTTTCACATCAACGCGACGGGGGTTATGAAGGGCGTTATATATAATCAGCGTTCGGAACTTGATGGAAGGAGGAATTGACGATATGTGTCATGTGTATTGCTTGTGGATCCTATCATGAACCACTGTTTGGGAGTCGAAACTTGAGTAAGGCTGATGATCTGCGCAGGGACCAACGAACGACAGGGAAAAACGAGGGATTATTCGCATCCAAGAACCTCTCTGGCGGATCGACCGGACTTCCAAGGCACAATGGACTTCTGGATAGGGCACTACGGCGTAGAGCGGCGTCAACAAAGAACCGAGGGCTCACGTCATAGCTTCCTCGCCATCCTCACTAAAGTAAGGTAAGTCACTGAGCCGGAGCCGTCCTCCGTATTCGTATGCCAATACTTAATGTCTTGTCGGACCCACGGGGCTGCCGTCGGCCGATCTCCGGTATTATTTTTTACATGACTAATACCTTGTGTATTGTTTCCTGTCAGTCAAAGTTGATGCCTAACTACCAAGGCCGCCACACGGAGCTTATCACGGGGGCGTCACGTGACATTTTCAGGGCACGAGGGACGCTAAGCCCGAACAAATGGCTGCCAAGAGTGCCAGATCAAGCAAAGGACGGGCGAGGCTCGACATGCCTAACTAACTAGAAGCGCAGCTATCAAAGAAGAAAGTCGTCGACGTCCATTCATCGATTTATTCCCGGGTAGTGCGTCGACAGGTTTCCTCGCCCCCCTCTCTTCTTCTCAATTTCCCTGTCTCTTCTCTATTCGTCGCACCCTCCTACATTCCCCTATCTTCCTCCCCGTTCGGGGGTCCTTGCGACCGCCATGACATCCCGTATGTGTTTGCCCTCCGTGAACCACCCCCACCCCTTTTGAGCTGGCAACCGAATCACTAATCAATTCGTCGCCGCACATGCGGTCTCGAAACAGTCAAACAATTCATTCGGAATGTTCGATCGGCCAAGACGATTGCCGATGAACGAGCGGTGATTCAAAAAGAAAGTGCCGCTATTCGTGCGTCGTTCAGAGAAGAGAGCCATGATTCGGGAGTCCGGTCAGCATTATGCACCACGCCTTACACCAGCACCTTGTGACTTCCGTCGGACAACCAGCTCATATATGATACTTGCAGGAGGAACAATGTCGCCAAGCTGCTCTATCTTTTCACCCTTGGGGAACGAACCCACTTTGGTCAGATCGAATGCCTGAAACTGTTGGCGTCCCACCGATTCGCCGACAAGCGGCTGGGATACCTGGGTACCATGCTGCTCCTGGATGAGAATCAGGAAGTGTTAACATTGGTGACCAACTCATTGAAGAAGTGGGTCTTTGTCTCAACAACTGCGTGCTGTTCTGCGAAGTGTCCTGGCTGACAGGATTTCAGTGATCTCAACCATTCCAACCAGTATATCGTCGGTCTCGCGCTATGTGCCCTGGGTAACATCGCCTCTGTCGAGATGTCTCGAGATCTGTTCACCGAAGTCGAGTCCCTCCTCTCCACAGCCAATCCCTATATCCGGCGGAAGGCAGCATTATGTGCCATGCGTATCTGCCGTAAGGTGCCAGACTTGCAGGAACATTTCCTGGAGAAAGCCAAGGCCTTGTTGTCGGATCGAAACCACGGCGTGCTGTTGTGCGGGTTGACCTTGGTAATAGACATGTGCGAGGCCGAGGAGGCCGAGGAAGGGCAAGAGGGCGTGATTGAGATGTTCCGGCCCTTGGTCCCCGGTCTTGTCCGTGCCTTGAAAGGACTGACGACCTCCGGTTACGCTCCCGAGCACGATGTCTCTGGAATCACGGACCCGTTCCTTCAGGTCAAGATACTGCGCTTTCTGAAAGTGCTCGGAAGAGGAGATGCGGCAACTAGTGAGTTGATCAACGACATTCTGGCCCAGGTGGCTACCAACACCGATTCTACCAAAAACGTGGGCAACGCTATCCTTTACGAAGCCGTCCTCACCATTCTGGACATTGAGGCCGACTCTGGTTTGCGGGTTTTGGGTGTCAATATTCTCGGAAAATTCCTCTCCAACAAAGATAATAACATTCGTTACGTTGCACTCAATACCCTGAATAAGGTGGTAGCGATCGAGCCGAATGCTGTTCAGAGACACCGCAACACCATCCTGGAATGTCTCCGTGACCCAGATATCAGCATCAGGCGACGAGCGCTCGACCTGAGCTTCATGCTGATCAATGAGTCGAACGTGCGTGTCCTCGTCCGGGAACTGCTCGCTTTCCTAGAGGTTGCCGACAACGAGTTCAAACCAGCTATGACGACCCAGATTGGTATCGCTGCTGACCGCTACGCCCCTAACAAGCGCTGGCATGTCGACACCATTCTGCGTGTCCTCAAGCTGGCCGGTGCGTACGTCAAGGAACAAATTCTGTCGTCGTTTGTGCGCCTGATCGCCACCACGCCGGAACTGCAGACGTACTGCGTGCAGAAGCTCTACACATCCCTGAAAGAGGATATCTCTCAAGAAGGGTTGACGCTTGCGGCAACTTGGGTCATTGGTGAATACGGTGATAGCTTGCTCCGTGGCGGTCAGTATGAGGAGGAGGAACTCGTCAAGGAGGTCAAGGAAAGCGACATTGTTGACCTCTTCAACAATATTCTCAACAGTACCTACGCAACACAGACTGTGATTGAGTATATCACGACGGCATCGATGAAGCTCACCGTGCGCATGACAGATCCTGCGCAGATAGAGCGTCTCCGGCGCTTCCTCAACAGCCGGACCGCCGATCTGAGCGTGGAGATTCAACAGCGCGCGGTCGAATATACCAACCTATTCGGCTACGATCAAATCCGCAGAGGTGTGCTGGAACGGATGCCACCTCCCGAGATCCGCGAGGAACAGAGGGTCCTTGGCGCTCCCAGCAAGAAGCGCCAGAGTAAGCTGCTCAAAGACAAGTCGAAGAAGCCTGCCAAGCAGGCCGAGCAAGACCTGCTCGTCGATCTCATGGGCGGCGCCGATGTTCCAGCAACGAGCCCGGCGGCCAATGGATCTCAGAACACCGCAGACCTACTTGCGGACATCCTCGGTGGAGACTCTGGCATCTCTTCGCCCGCTCCCCAGGCCGCACACGCACCTGCCCAATCAGCCAACACGAGCGCCATCATGGACCTGTTCGGCTCAAACGGAGCGACCCCCTCACCACGCCCAGCGGAGCCGGCATCCGCATCTGTGGATATACTTGGAGGGCTCGGATCCGCCCCATCCCCAGCACCATCCCCGTTGGCCGCAGCGGTTCATACAGCATACAACAAGAACGACCTTATTCTTACTTTGCAGGTACAGCGAGCCGGTAATGGGAATGCACAGATCCAGGCCCGTTTCCGCAACGTCTCCGACTTTAGTCAATTCTCCAATGTCGGGTTACAAGCCGCGGTGCCCAAGAGTCAACGGCTTCAGCTTAGTGCGATCAACAGATCCGAGCTTTCTGCGGGAGACGAAGGCGTGCAGATGCTAAAGATCGCAGCCATCAGTGGTGTAAGTTTGTCCGGGCATTTTACTAGTCAACTCGTTGCTAACGATATCATGATAGGCACTCCCACCCAAGCTCCGCCTTCGTCTCCGTGTTACATACTCAAAAGACGGGTCAGAGTCGGTGACGGATCAGGTCGACTGGTCCGAGCCTTGAAGCCTTGATGAGCAGCTGGATACGTTGGATTCATGTTTATAGAAGACAGGCATATCAAATATTGACGCATTAATACCTCTGAAAGGCATTGCCGCAGCATCTTCAATTGTTGGTTGGCAAAGTTATACTCTTTCTATTGGGACTCTGGCCTATTCTCGATTACACACATACCCTTGAATTGTGATCCTTTTTCTTGTCACGTGGTCTACTTGATTCATTGTAAATGCTTCGCCCATTGCGATCCACATTAGGATCTGAAATATGATGAGAAGTGGCCAGCAAAGTTTAGCGCAAATATGTATGTCAATCCAGTCGAAATTTGTTATCATCATTCCTTTCCTATGGACGGACCTGTCTAGTACAAAGTATATAATATGACAGGAACTGCGGTACTCATAAATAAACATACACATACTTAAGTGATATTTACATAGTTCATGAATCAATTCTGGCCGTGGGATCCCTCGCCTCGTACGCACGAAGCCGAAGCTTTGTTAGCAACTCTTTCCAGCTTTGCGTGCTCTTCTCCGTGGTGAGGTGAGGGGGTGGGAGGTGCGGAGGTCAGTTCGATCTACACGAAGGTCGCTAATTACAGGATTTATCAAAAATGGGTAAGAGCGCTTTCCCCAGGTGCCGCCGAGAAGCTTCGCTTCCATTTGCTGTCATCATATCAGTCAGACTCTGACAAGATCAAGAGATGCGAGTCAGGAGGACCGCTCAGGTACTCCGTAGGCAAAGCAGGATGATTACATATGATGTCATTGTCATTCTCATTTGCATCTTCATATCATTAATCTGGGGTACAGGAGATTTGTCAAGTTAGATCCACATGCTTAATGTCATTCCTCCCTGAGGGGTAATAGAATGCAGAATTGATGTCATCTATCGTGCGCTCAGGCACCAGCCAACCTTGATTCCCATTAGGTTTCTTGTCTGACTGCAACATGACGAATTTACAAAGTCTATTGTCTCTCACCGAGATAGTAACATGAAGCAGGTCCACTGACCAGTGTTCAATTTCTGTCTGTCGTTGTAATAAGTGCTGTCCTGTTCCTCCCAAGGTGATTCGTTAAATCGTCATCATAGATATTCATCGTTTGCTCCCCAGTAGTGCCCCCCCAGTACAGTATCATATCGGCTCAAATGCATCCAAGATCAATAGCAGTCCGTACGCCAACAATGTAATGTGATCGATGTTAAGGGTAAATTGGAATTCCAGCCTACCGCATGCGTGATGGTGTCATGTAAAAAGACGTCTGAAAAAAAGTATAGGCAAGAAGGATAAAGTGTGACAGGAGAATGAAGTCC